ATTTTCATTTTGTATTTTTACCGGTTCTTCTTCCTCTTCTCTCTAAGTTGCAAGTTTAACAGTATCAAGCAAAGAAGCTCGATATTAACCAAAAGAAAAATCTTCATTAATGGACGAATGGATCAGGCTACAGACGTCCGCAGCTGATATCTGGCCGTCCATCCTCCTCTTCTGTCTTCACTTGCACTGATAATCCATTTCCAATTCCATTATTTTTTATTCTCTATACTGATTTGTATTTCTCTTTAGGTTAGCTTTTGTCTTCTTGCATTTTTTTTAATTTACTGTAGATCATGTTTTGGTTAATGAGTTCAGAACTGGATTGCTGTGATCGCGCTTTTTTTTTTTCTTGTGTTTTGAGTTTTTTTTAGTCGTGTTTGGTTCGAGAGAAAATGTTTTAATGAAAAAGAAAAAACACGAGTTTTCTTTCTCGAGAAAGATAAGTTCCATTGAATCCAGTCCATATCACTAATTTAGTGGCGTGATCACTGACTAGCTATGTTTTCTTTTAGAAAGGCTTTTAAGAACAAATTCTCTTCGAAAGGCTAAATGTTGAATCGCTGCCTTTTTGTGTATAAAGATGGAGAAGCGATGAAGAAGAATATTTATAGGACGAAGCACTTCAAAATGTTTGAATGGAATCTTATGCTAAATGAATTTGTAGGAAAATATAAATCTTCTAATGGAATCTTATTGTTTCATTGTTCTCTCTCTCTCTCTCTCTCTCTATATATATATATATATATATATTGATTTGGTGCAATATTCTGTCAAATATGAATGCAAAAATCTGGACAAACATGAACATCTGTCAAGATACAACCGATTCAATGAAGTTTCGCATTTTTAGCTCATTTATGACTTTTTCTTCTTGATTTTTTTTGTCAGATTTGGCGCTGTTGTTTTCACATAATGGAGACTTGTGATTGTATTGACTCACCGTGGCCACCTGAAGAATTGCTTGTCAAATATCAGTACATATCAGATGTTCTAATCGCTCTTGCATATTTCTCAATTCCCCTCGAGGTTATTTATTTTGTTAAAAAATCTGCATTCTTCCTGTATCGATGGGTGCTTATGCAATTCGGTGCTTTTATCATTCTTTGCGGCGCAACACAATTTATAAACCTGTGGACATTCACTATGCATTCGAAAGTCGTCGCTATGGCGATGACCATTGCCAAGGTCGCATGTGCTGTTGTATCGTGTGCGACTGCTTTGATGCTTGTGCACATTATTCCCGACCTGTTGAGTGTTAAAACTCGAGAATTATTTCTGAGGAACAAAGCCGAAGAGCTTGACAGAGAAATGGGTCTTATTCTCACTCAAGAAGAAACTGGACGGCATGTAAGGATGCTAACTCATGAAATTAGAAGCACACTCGACAGGCACACGATATTGAAGACTACTCTTGTTGAATTGGGTAGGACCTTGGGCCTGGAGGAATGTGTCCTGTGGATGCCATCAAGGACTGGTATAAATCTGCAACATTCACATACACTAAATTACCAAATACAAGTTGGATCTACTGTGCCGATAAATCTTCCTATTGTCAACGAAGTATTCAATAATGCTCAAGCAGTGCATATACCCTATACCTGCCCACTTGCCAAGATCAGGCCTCTAGTCGGAAGATATGTGCCACCAGAGGTTGTTGCTGTTAGGTTACCCCTTCTTCATCTCTCAAATTTCCAAATTAATGACTGGCCTGAGCTCTCTGCGAAAAGCTATGCAGTCATGATTCTTATTCTCCCCACAGACAGTGCCAGAAAATGGCGAGACCATGAATTGGAACTTGTCGAAGTTGTGGCATATCAGGTCATCTTATGATTTATGTGCTTTCTTTCATTGGCTGCTTATTTGATGTCTTAATGAAATGCTCACCTTCAGTTTTAATTTTGCGCTTGGCTGTAAGTTTATGAATTCATTTTTGAAAAGCTTCAGTGACTGCCCTTGATGTTCTTGCTCCTTAGTCTAGTTGGAAAACACATTAACCTATTAAGAGACTTTGATTCTTATAATGGTGATATATGTACAGGTTGCCGTTGCTCTTTCGCATGCCGCTATTCTGGAGGAATCCATGCGTGCACGTGATCAGCTTATGGAGCAAAATGTTGCTTTAGACTTGGCTCGTCGAGAGGCCGAGAAGGCAATTCATGCACGAAACGATTTCTTAGCTGTAATGAACCATGAGATGCGCACACCAATGCATGCAATCATTGCATTGTGCTCGCTTCTTTTAGAGACTGATCCAACTCCAGAACAAAGAGTTATGATAGAGACGGTGCTGAAGAGTAGCAACCTTTTGGCAACCCTAATCAATGATGTCCTCGATCTCTCAAGACACGAAGATGGCAGCCTAGAATTAGACTTTGGAATGTTCAATCTTCATGGAATCTTCAAAGAGGTAACCAATGGTGTTTTTTGTACATTTTTAGCATAGAAATTGCAATAAATTTGCTTTTGCAATATTTCTATAATTTCAGGCCATTAATCTGATCAAGCCCATTGCATCCATAAAGAAGCTATCCATGACCATGATCCTGGCAACCGATTTGCCAATGTACGCTGTTGGCGATAAGAAACGGCTTATGCAAACCATTTTAAACATCATGGGGAATGCTGTGAAGTTCACAAAGGAGGGTTATGTTTCGATTATAGCGTCAGTTGCGAAACCGGAGACGTTAAGAGACTGGCGACCTCCATAATTTTATCCAGTGTCAAGTCAAGGCCACTTCTACTTACGAGTGCAGGTTCTTGACTACTTCAGTTAAACTTCATTTCAATTTGTTTTGCTTCTATTCTACTTAACTGCACCATCCATGTACTGTTGTTGTGGAGATCAGCTGGAGCTTTTCTAGCTTAATATCGCATGATGCTTAAGCCTATATCCTATCATCTAATCTGTGGCAGGTTAAGGACTCTGGTTGTGGTGTTCTGCCACAAGATATACCACTTCTTTTTACCAAATTTGCACAGCCGCGTAGTGGATCCAGTCAAAATAGTGGTGGAAGTGCTGGACTTGGACTTGCCATTTGTAGAATGTAAATAAAAAATCTCTGAAAATCCTCCGCACATGAAATATTTGGTATTTACCCTTATAATCGGACAAATCACAGTAGCTATAAAAGATGCTTATACTATGGTTGTCAAAAATCAGACTTAACTGCCTGATTAAACTGGTAGGATAAGGTCAAAAATTATACAAACCATTAAAATTTAGGGTAAAGTATACAAATAGTCCATCAAATACAGAGTATTATTTTAGTAAGTATTTTGACTATTAAAATTAAAAAATGATACTCTAACTATAGAATGTTACTTTGTTGAATTTCTTGACGATTAAAAGTTATAAAATAATCACCTAATTATTCATTATATTTCAAACTCATCATTTTTCGTTAAAAAATTAACGATATTCTAAGCTAAATGTTAACTTACTGACTATGATAAGATAAAATATGATATCGGAATCTCGAACGACTATTATATCTCAATCATAATGTTAGAAAAGTCAATTTTAATGGAAAAAAATATGATTTTGAAATATAATGAATAGATGGGTGATAATTTATAACTTTTAATAGTCAAGGGACTTAATAAAAGAAAATTTATTATTGAATCGATGGTTCAACTGGCCTAACTGGTTGAATAAAAAAACTAGTGATTCGATCAACAATCCCCAGATTTATACCACATTCACTTATATGTTTGAATCACAGGCTTGTGAATCTGATGGGAGGCCACATATGGATGGAGAGTGAAGGCCTTAACAAAGGTAGCATAGCGACATTCCTTGTCAAGCTCGGGATCTGTAATAACCCGAATGATTCATCTATCCACCTCCAAGTTAGAGCTTATCATGGAAGTGCAGATCTGACCGCACAGAAACCTACCTTAAGAGACAACAACAGGGGCGGCGTTTCATCTATCGCGCGATACCAAAGAAGTCTTTAGATGATTGAGGGGCTAAAGTTGCAACGAGCAAATGTTTGATAATTTCCCCTGATAAAAGCTGCTATAAGCAAGCCAGTTAACGAGATGGGATTTGGAAGCACAACCAAGTTTGGTCAGAAACACACTGAAGATATTGTTCGAAGATTTACACCATGGGTCACTTGAGCATTTTATAGATTTTACTAGTGATTTTGAAAATCTTGATCTAAAACCAATACCTTAAACCATTTTTCTATATTTAAATATCTAAATTAAGGGTATGTTTGTTTGGGGAAAAACCAATTATCCCCGAAATTCCGTGTTTGTTTCACGTAATTCGTTTTTGGAAAATGTTTTCCAGTGTTTGGTTGGAGGAAAACTGATTGGTCAACGTAAAACATTTTCCTGGTTAACAAAATTTCCTTTGTGTTTTTGAAAAATAACTTACGGTCTGATTTTCCGTAAGTTATTTTCCAAACGTATCACTTCAAAGAATAAATACTCAAAATAATTTTATATTATGAATTTAATATTAATAAAATATTTTAATATCATTTTAATCAAAATATTAATTATTAAAATATTTAAAATATATTTTTTAATAATATTATATTATATTTTTAATATTATAATAAAATAATCAAAAGAAATCAAATCAAATCAAGTACAGAATTATATTTTTAATATTATATTATATTTATTAAGAAACTTGAATTTGCTTAAAAACACTGATACTTTAGCAAAAGAAATGCAAAATCAAATACAAACTTACACGGCTGGTTGAGCAGCTGCCGCAGGTGGTGCTGCAACTGGCTTATTTCCTCCTCCAGGTCCCTAAAGAGATTAAGGGGGGGGGGAATAAAACATAAGAACCCAAGTCGTAACTTCAGAAGGAAAATAAATATCCACATATCTATTCCATGTAAAGCATCCCATTATGCTCGTTGCATACTCAAAGAACCACACGATACGAATGTTCTTACCTGGGCCAAACGCTCCTCTCTCCGAGCGAATTTTCTTTCCCTGCTTGCCTTATTCTTAGCCCTCTTTGCTTCAAACTGGTCAGCCAATGTCTTCTCTCGGGCCTTTTCAGCCTTAGATTTGTGGATGCTCTCCATGAGAACTCTCTTGTTCTTAAACACATTACCCTTGACTTTCATGTACATGTCATGGTACATGTGCTTGTCAATCTTCTTTGATTCCCTATATTACGAAGCAAGCGTCTCAGAACACGCATCCTCCTCATCCACAAGATCTTTGAGGGCAACCTCGCCTCCCTTGTATCCTTGCGCTTACCTAAACCAGAATGAAAATATAAAAACCCAGCTAATCTATATATGCATAAATTACACAATATGAATCACAGTCTTTGATGGCTAACAAACGATTACTCTTGTGTTAAGTATCCCCACATTACTTCATTTCATCTTTAATAAAATGATTTTGGACATCAGAACTTTGAAAACATGACACTTAATCAAGATTCTAGAATATAATCCGAAACAGAATCTGTAAGCATGTCAACCTACTCTCCATCGACAAATAACATTAAATCCAGCAAATCTAAGAACCATAGTATACAAAGAAAAAACACACCATATCCAGAGTGACGTCCCTTTCTCCTTGCCTCCTTCATGCGACGTGCACGTGATTGAGAGTGAATTTTGGTTGGCTTCCTGATGATAAAACCATCTTTAACCAGCTTCCTTATATTCTGGCCTGCAATTCCAATTTCAAATACGCACATGATCAAAATTGAACATTAAAAGAACAAGTTCTTGTGCTAAGCTACAAACGGAATAACAAGTCCATAGAATATCCAATTCTATCATGACTACGACATAACATCAGCATGAGCTTCTATTAATTGTTCAGAACTTTTAAAAAAAATTAAAATCATATAGCTCCAGTTGCACTCTATTACTAATGTGAAGATTTGACTTTCTCCAGCAGGAAATCTCAGTTCAATTGATGTAGCTTTGGCATTACAAGTTAGTGGTACTCAAGTCTGCATATATGTTTAACCATCGTGCAACCAAGTAATTCTAAACCCAAATTCTTTTATTTCTTAATCATGGGCGCATTACAAGACATTCCAATATATAAAGGACAATGAAGGTAACCCCTTGCACTTCATCCCATCATCATCTTTCTTCTCTTTGTCTTGGTAGTTAACAGTTGGGAAACCATGGCTATTGCCTGCCCATTGTTGGCTGCCTCCTTGCTTTTATGTTCATTGCTTGTCATTGCTTCTGCAAATGACTATGGTGCTTATGATTCATCCAAAACACAATCTTATGATTATGGTACTGCAAAGCCGGTCAAACAACAACAGCTAGAAAAGGAAGAGAAGCCTTATGTCTATAAATCACAGCCAGAAGAGAAGGGAAAACCATTGTTAGAAGCTACAGCAAGCATCGGTTACGGCACAAAATCAGTTTACCAACCACAACCAGAAAAGCCCGAGTTAAAACAGGAAGAAAAGAGTGATTATGGCACTAAGTATAACTCCTATAAACCACAGCCAGATCAAGAGAAAGAGAAGCCAATGCCAGAAGAGACAGAAAAGACTGGTTATAGCACAAAACCAGTCTATCAACCACAACCAGAAAAGCCTGATTATAACACCAAGCCAAATTACTATGAACCACAGCCAGATCAAGAGAAAGAGAAGCCAATGCCAGAAGAGAGAGAAAAGTCTGGTTATAGCACAAAACCAGTCTATCAACCACAACCAGAAAAGCCAGAGTCAAAGCAGGAAGAAAAGCCTGATTATGGAACCAAGCCAAATTACTATCAACCACAGCCAGAAGACAAGGAAAAACCAATGCCAGAAGAGACAGAAAAGCCAGGTTATAGCACAAAACCAGTCTATCAACCACAACCAGAAAAGGTAGAGTCAAAGCAGGAAGAAAAGCCTGATTATGGAACCAAGCCAAATTACTATAAACCACAGCCAGAAGACAAGGAAAAACCAATGCCAGAAGAGACAGAAAAGCCAGGTTATAGCACAAAACCAGTCTATCAACCACAACTAGAAAAGGCAGAGTCAAAGCAGGAAGAAAAGCCTGATTATGGAACCAAGCCAAATTACTATAAACCACAGCCAGAAGACAAGGAAAACCCAGAAACAGAAAATGAAGAAAAGCCTGATCATGGCGCTAAAAATGACTTCTATCAGCAGCAACCAGAAGACAAAGAACACCCTATTTACAACGCAAACCCAGCCACGGATTTCTACAAACCAAAACCTGAAGTTCTTCCCATTGTTGTTGAAGGGCTTGTTTTATGCAAATCAGGTCCCAAGTATTACCCAATTCGAGGTAAACTATTTGACACACACACACACACACACACACACACACAATTTAAGCACTCGTATTTATGTTTAAAACTCTCCCTAATTCAGCTCATTCCTTGGGCTGATATCTGTTTCAATTGGCACAGGAGCTTTGACAAGGATAACGTGTTTAACTGTTGATGAAAATGGGTATGCGAAGAGTCACTCGGTTTGCAGCGGAGAAACTGATGAAAAGGGTTACTTCTTAGCGATATTGTCTCCTTCAGGCCTTGACGACGTCGATCTGTCGAGCGAGCTCAGAGATTGCAAGGCGTTCCTTGAAAGCTCTCCGTTGGAGACCTGCAACATTCCCGTTGATGTCAACAAAGGCATTAGTGGCGCTCCGCTTTCTGGGTTCCGTGTTCTCCATCACTTGGGGATGAAGCTTTTCTCCGTCGGACCTTTCTTCTTCACCCCTCAACTTACTCCTGTCACTAATGGCTACTAAACACCTTAATTCCTTTGATTTTATTATAATTTATTTATTTGTCTTATGTTTTGGATCGTTTGGTTTCGAGGAAGGCGAGTGTCGTTGATTTCTATTTGATTGTTGTTCTTCGTAATGCGTATAGAGCTAAATTCGCTCTGTTAATTATTAATGCTTATATTAATTTTATGCACCTCAATCAAATTATACATCATAAAAATTTCAAATTACTTTTTTATATCGAACTTACTAATGACACATAAAAAAAAGTATGGTTCTCATTTTAAATTGGTCCTAAAGTTTTAAATATTTTAATTTCATCTCTAAACTATGACTATCATTCTAAACTAGTTTTTAAACTTTTGAATATTTCAATTTCATCTCTATACTATACCCTTCGTTCTAGATTGGTCCCTAAATTTTCTGAGCAATCCAATTTCATACCAAACTTTACGTATATACTACTTGCATCCCTAGTTAATAAAGTCTTTAGCCAAGTTATATTAATATACGTCTGAATTTTTTTTAGGTTAAACTATGATTGAAACTAAATGACCATCTAGCTCAGTTGGTAGAGCACAAGGTTCTTAATCTTGAGGTCGTGGGATCAAGTCTCATGGATGGGCATTTCATAATTTGGAGGTCTCCTACGGAAGCTGCTCTCAACCTAGTGTTGGGGGTAGCCTACTATCTTACATCCCCCTTACCCCATTACATATGGGAACAAGGGACAACCAACCACTATGATTGAAACTAATCACATATCCTCAAAGTATGGTTCCCATTTTAAATTGGTCCTAAACTTTTAAATATTTTAATTTCATCCCTAAACTATGACTATCATTCTAAACTAGTTTTCAAACTTTGAATATTTCAATTTCATCTATATACTATATCCTTCGTTCTAAATTGGTCCCAAACTTTTTGAGCAATCCAATTTCATCCCAAACTTTACGTATATACTAATTGCATCCCTAGTTAATAAAGTCGTTAGCCAAGTTATATTATTATACATCTGAATTTTTTTTAGGTTAAATTATGATTGAAACTAATTATATATTTGGATGAATTTGAGGGTAAAATTGGAATATTTAATTTTTTTAGGACTAATTTAGAAATAGGATCATAGTTTAGGTATGAAATTAGAATGTTCCAAAGTTTAAGGACTAATTTAGAATGAGAGTCATAGTTTATGGGTTAAATTAGAATATAAAAGTTTAAAGATCAATTTATAATAAAGGTTATAGTTTGGGGACATGTGATTAAAAATAGAAAAGCATAATTTATTGTTGATATAAAATCTTTTAAAGTTTAAAAATTTATTTAAAATAAGATATAAAGTTAAAGCATCTCATACAATTATCTCAAAATAAAATTTAAAAAATCCATATTTATATAAGATAAAAGTAAAATATAAATACTCAAATTTCCAAATTTCTCATCTCAAATTAATGAATATTTATTGGGTAAAGTATACAAATAGTCCTCGACTATAGGGTACTATTTTATTAAGTCATTCGATTATTAAAAGTTAAAAAATGGTCATTTGACTATAGAGTGTTGCTTTGTTGAGTCCCTCGACTATTAAAACTTATAAAATAATCACCCAACTATTTATTATATTCCAAACTTGTCATTTTTCATAAAAAAAATTGACAGTATTTTGAGCTGAACGTTAACCTGTTGACTGTGACATGATAAAATCTGATCTTAAAATCTTAAACGACTATCATATTCCAATCATCATGTGAATGTCCAACATAGACAACCGCCGATTTTTTAACAAAAAAAAGATGAGTTTGAAACATAATGAATAATCAGGTGATCATTTTATAACTTTTAATAATCAATGAACTTAACAAAACAACCTTCTATTTTACAAAGGACACCATAAATGCTTTCTCCACAACTTTATTTCCCAATGATGCTTTCATTTTCTATCCGTGAATTACGAGCATAGTCCATTGAATATGGATAAACTACAATATTCATTTCTCAACTTTTTATTATATTCCAGTTTTAGTCAATAAACTTTAAAGGCACTCAATATTAACATTATTCCGTTTTTGTTATTCCGTGATAAATTATTTAACAATTTTATGACATGATATATATTATTTAAAAATTATTAATAAACCCCAAGATTTTTTTTAAATATATGAAAACATCCCTGAAATATTTTTTTCTTAAAATTTTAACCTAGCCTCTTGAATTCTCTTTGATTTTACAATATTAGAGCATCTTCTTTTAAATCTCGATGGTTAGGAGATGGAGAACGAAATGAGCAATATATCTTAATTCACGATGAACGGATGATGGGATTATAAATCATAGTTGTTTTCTTTCGCTTTTTCGGTAGAAATTTCACAAGTTTGGAGGAAATCAAAATTGAGAGACTGATAGGAGATGACGAGATAGATTTTTTATATATATTTAAAATAGAAGGAGAAAACGTCTAACGATGACAGTATCACAATGATGGGAGATGAAAAATAATGATAAAATTCTTAGGTGGCGTTTGGTTCGTTGAAATGTTTATGAGGGAATTGAAATCTGTCAGAAATTGGAATCTAATTTCATATTTTGATTGGCAGGAAATTGAATTGGAATCTAATTACATATTATGTTTGGTTCGCAGACATGTCAGATGAATTTGATTTCAGTAATGTAAAATGACATGATTGCCATTCTTCTTTTTTTTTTACTTAATTTTAGTTTTTTTTTTATAAATTACATGTAGCAATATATTATAAAAATTTTAAAAAAAATAATTTTATTGATTAATTATTCATTTTAATAAATTATAAAAATCATGTTAATAAACATCGTAAGTTAAAATCATCTTAATTAGGGATGGCCATGGGTCAGGTTTTTGGTCCACCCGACCCGACCAGAGAACAAGGGAACCTCTATCCGAGACCCAACCAGACCAAAATAAAGTTTCACCCGACCTGAATATATGAATTAGAAACCCGACTCGACCCAAAATAATAATAAAAATTATTTTTATTCAATAAAAACAGTGACTTAATTGGAAAAATATATATAGAGAGAGAGGTATTATTGTTATTATTCCTAAATATATAAGGTAAAATTATATATTTTTTGGGTCGGGTCGGGTATTTTTCACCCTAAACCCGAACCCGACCCGACCCGAATATCACACTTAAAAAAACCGACTCGATCCGACCAAAATAAAGTTTCACCCGACCTGACCCGAAATAATAAAAAAATATTTTTATTCAATAAAAACACTAACTTAATTGAAAAAAAAAATTATATATAGAGGGGTATTATTGTAATTATTCCTAAATATATAAGGTAAAATTATATATATATTCGGGCCGGGTATTTTTCACCCTAAACCCGAACTCGACCCGACCCAAATATCACTCTTAAAAAAGCAGACCGACCCGACCAAAATAAAGTTTCACCCGACCCGACCCGAATATATGAATTAGAAACCCGACCCGAAATAATAATAAAATATTTTTATTTAATATATGAGTAAATTATCAAAAGATTGATGAGGGTAGTATAGTCAAATTCCAATTCCCTCTAACAAGGGAATTGAATTCCAACATAGAATGGATGAAATTCACTTTCCCTCATTTGATGGAAAGTTGAAGCCATGAGGGGTTTCAATTCCCTTAAAAAAACTTAAACCAAACATAGGAAAGTGTTAGAATTAGATTCTAATTCCTCCTAATTCTAAGTGATTCATGCCAACTAAACGTCACAAGTTAAAAGTTATTGAGAAGATGAAATAAAAAAAATGAGTTCACTTCCATATCAACAAAAAATAATACAAGTAAGCAAAAAATAGGCTACGTCTACGATATTTATGATTTAGTGTCTGAGTGATATAGAACAATTATAAAATTGAATTTTTTTAATTTAGTAATCAAAACAAGATTTACGCAAAGAATATTAATATATTTAGTCATAAAAAGCTTAATATAAGAATAAATGTTTAAACTATACTAAAATTGATTTTTGGTATGTAAAGATTTTTTTATTAAAATATGTCTAATGTTTTCTAAAAATCGTTAAGTGACACGTGTCACGTTCAGGATTTTAAAAAATAAAAAATATATAAAAATGATACGTGTCACTTAACGGTTTTTTTAATGATAGTCACTTAAAATTGTAACGGAGAAAACATTAGACACTTATTTTTAACAAAAAAATTCTTTAAACACCAAAATTCGAGTTTGATAATAATTTATACATTTATTTTTGTATTAAATATGAAAAGAATGTATCTTTTTGAATTCTGGAATTTTGACTTGTAAACAACTTGAAAAAAGATTCGTCTAAAACGACAAGACTCCACTTTAAAAGGGCAATATTATAGCATCCTCGACACTGAAAATTCTGCTAATAATTTCCATATAGATTTCTCTGAACCTGAGAGCAGTATGTAGAAGATAGAGCACACCACGGTGACGACCAACGACATAAACATGCACCTTGCGTCGCTCGGCTCTGGCCCGGTTATTCTTTTCTTGCACGGCTTTCCCGAGCTTTGGTACTCATGGCGCCATCAGCTCCTTTCACTGTCATCTCTCGGGTACCAATGCGTGGCTCCCTATCTTCGCGGCTACGGCGGCAGCGATGCTCCCGCTTCCTCAGCTTCGTACACTGTTTTCCACATCGTTGGGGATCTAGTGTCCCTGCTCGATATGCTCGGTGTCGAGAGCGTGTACTTGGTGGGATACGATTGGGGCTGGTGATCGCTTGGTCTTTTTTGCCAGTTCAGGCCTGATAGAGTCAAGGCTTTGGTGAACCTGAGCGTGGCGTATCGGCCTAGGAACCCTACAGTCAAGCCCGTGGAAGGGTACAGGGCTTTGTTTGGAGACGATTACTATGTGTGCAGGTTCCAGGTAATTGATTCAACCAACAGTTAGATTAATTAGTTGATTGGTTCTTTTATTTTACTTTCACCGTGTGTTGCTCCATTATGTCTCAGGAACCTGGGGAGATTGAAGAAGAGTTTGCTCAACTGGGCACTGAAAAACTTATCAAGTTGTTTCTCGCAGCACGCGATCCGGGTCCGTTTCTTATACCGAAAGAGACAGGGCTGAGAGGGATGCCTGATCCCCCACCCTTGCCTTCCTGGATTTCAGAGCAAGACATAGATTACTTTGTTAACACATTCAACCGAACCGGATTCACCGGAGGACTGAACTATTATCGAGCTATGGACCAGTAGGTCGAATTGAGCAATGCTAAGTTGTTGAAGGAATCACATTTCTATTTCAATTTTCAACCCTTAATGCAGGAACTGGGAACTCACAGCACCTTGGACCGGATCAAAGATCAAGGTACCGGTTAAATTTGTCGTCGGCGACCTGGACATCACCTACAACATCCCCGGCATCAAGGAATACATACACGGTGGCGGATTCAAGAGAGACGTGCCGTTCTTGCAGGAAGTAGTCGTCATGGAAGGAGTAGCCCACTTTATCAACCAAGAAAAATCAGAGGAGATTAGCATGCACATTTATGACTTCGTTAAGAAATTCTGATTGTTAGCCCTATATAACATTTCACTTTTGATAAAAAAAAAAATCATATACAAATTTAAAATTTATACTACTGTCTAGTCCTCTCCTTTTTTTATATATATAAAAATGATAATTTTATTTTTTCTATATGATCATTATTATATGCATTATTATGTTTGCTAGATGGATTTTATCCTTCACATTGGACAATATATTTATTTGTATCTTTTTTTTTAGTTATTTGGTTAAAATTTTCATTATTTCCTTATATGGGTCTATACTAATCTTGGTGGCTAATTTGTGTATTCTGATTGTTTTAGGAGAAATGATTAATTAATGTGAGAGTAAAGTACACAAATGGTCCCCGACTATAGGGTATTGCTTTATTAACTCCTTCAATTATTAAAAGTTATAAAATGATCTTTTGATTAGAGAGTGTTGCTTTGTTGAGTCCCTCAATTATCAAAAGTTACAAAATGATCATCTGACTATTCATTATGTCTCAAACTCGTTCTTTCCCGTTTAAAAATTTAACAGTACTCTGAGTTGAACGTTAACATATTGACTGTGATGTGATAAAATCTGATCCCAAAATCTCAAACAACTATCATATCTCAACCATCATATCTCAACAATCATATTAATGTCCAAATTAGATAACCACCAATTTTTTTAACGAAGAAAAATGACGAGTTTCAAACATAATAAATAGTCGGGTGACCATTTTGTACTTTTAATAGTCGATAGACTTAACAAAGTAATATTATATAGGTGAATGATCATTTTGTAACTTTTAATAGTCGAAGGACTTAATAAAGTAGTACCCTATAGTCAATGGACCATTTGTGTAATTTACCCTTAATGTTATTCAGACAACGAATATATCATATATATAAGCAAAGGGTCTTAATGCAATTCTACGAACAAATTCATACACAGGAATTGATACAAAAAAAAATCAATTTGAATCGATTATTTTAATACAACCGGACAAAGAAAACAACTGTTGTGCCTTCGATCAAGTGATAAATTAACAATGAACTACTAACAAGAAACAAATAACGGCAATTGCAATCCACAGAGGTGAAGGGAAAAAGAATATAGACATACCTACAGCTCCTTGCCAAATCAGCTCACATCCTTGAGTCTTTTTATCAATGCATCCAAAGATTTCTTTTTCGGATTCTGCCTCGCACCGCGGCTCCCAAAGGTTCCGAATAGCCGATCCGATGAATCCCTAAACTTCTCTGAAATCGTCATGACTTTCCGGTAGTCCAGGGCATTGTAACTCCTCTCTCTAATTACTGGGTTCAGAAAATTCTCTGGCTGGTTGCTCAAAAGCAAATTGATCATCTGCCTTGACTCTGCAAGTGCATTTTTCAACAGATTTGCATCCCCTTCAGAAAGCGCAGGACATAGGTTATCCGAAAAAGATTCTAACAACCGGATATCTACATCGATCCCCATAATAGCATTTACGTTAAACCTCTTCACTGAATCTCCCAGTAAAGCCCCAACAATCTTCTCTGATATGTGAGAAAGAACATCTTGTAAAACTCTTTTAAGAACTTGAGTAGGCAATATCTGTTGAGCGGAAGAAACCAAAGTTTCCAAATATATTATAACCTCATTCACATATTCATTACCACCTTGTGAAGCTTCATCAGTCATCCAGTTCACATTCTCGATCAAAGTCAGGAAACCGTCAACCTTTCTCTTGAGCATCCCAGACAGCATCTCTTCTGCAGCATCACGGGCTTTGTTAAGAGGAAACTGCTTCCTTCCCCTTTCTGTCATTCTCAAAGGAATGCCTGAAAGCTGTGCAGCATGACGAAAGAAGAAATCACAAGCTCGCTCCAAAACAGCCATATTTGCTGCGACCTGCATTGCCTGAGAAACCCCTTGTATAGAAGAACTTATCAGCTTCAAAAGAGCCTCATCCAAAACCTCACCCAAAAGCCGGTCCAAATACTTCTTTACGATATCATAGAAATCCAACTGCCCACCATAAGACATGAAGCTAACAGAATCCTCGATAAAAGATCTCACAATCCGGCAACAATCAGGCACAGTAGATGAAAATGGTGCAACGTAAGGAAATGCTGGAACGATATCTGATGTTTGTAACTGGAAAGACAGCACATTCATCGAGTACTCGTAATCCTTCTTCATCAACATCTGCTCAAATTTATCATCAGCAAGAGCTTCCGCGATCTGCTTCCGGCAATCAGATAATAACAGCTCATGGTACTTATCCCTATGCTTACTCAAAACGTTAAGCAATGCATCAACAGGATAGCCATATCTACGCAAAGTAACTCCTAACAAACTCACATAATCCTTAATCAGTAACAGGTGACTAGCAGTTTGCATCCTAGAAAACTGATCCTCTAAAACAGAGCACATTTTACTAACAGCAGTCTCCCACAAATTCTCAACCTCCATTTTGGAAACCAAACACCCGCCTGTCCTTAAAACGCGATCTTCTATTATAAAGAACCCCGCAATTTGAGCAAAAAATGTTTGATGAGATTCAAGAAACGGAGTCATAGAAGATACTTGAAAATCAGAGGTTAATTGAAGCTTTCTATTCTGAAAGTAATACTGCTTAAATCGATTTTCGAGTCCTAAAGTTTGATGAATATGATAAGCTCGATAAAGTGGAGTCAAGTCAAATCCAAACAAGCCGTTATTACCGTTATTATAACTTTCATTATCGTCTCCTCCAAGTTCAACTTCATCATCATCTTCTTCTAAAGCGTAAAAGCAACCTCTCAAGCTGAGTCGACTCTGTTCTTCGGCTTGCCTTTGCTTGATTCTCAGATCTTCTTCGCGTTGTCGAGCAGCCGAGGCTTGTCCGATTGCTATTTGCCCTAAATTGCGGCTGACCACGCGAATATCAACGAGCCAATCGCCAAACTCTTTGCTGATTTTGCGCTCGATATGAGATCGAATCTCAGGAATCTTCCTCTCCAGCATCCTTTTTAAAGTAGATGATGGTATTTTATCTTGGAACTCGTTTGCCATCGAGTCTAAACACTTCAATGCCATGTAGAAACTGCCGTTTGAGACATGAAGATTAGCTGTCGAGCAAAGCTCCATCAGCTTAATACACAATGTCACCGACTGCAAAGCGGAGTTTACGTTCTTTGAAACATTTTGAGCTACAACGAAGGAGTCAAGGGAAGAAAGGAGAGGACCACCAACAGATTGGAGTCCTGAGTTGGAGTCAGAGAGAGTAGATTTGAGAGAATCGACATCGGAGAGAAGGGATCGGAGATCATCGACGGCCAGGATGAAATCTTGGTAGTGAGATTTACAAACTTCTTCGATTTCCGATTCCTTAGAACGAGCGAAGTGACGGAGGAGGTGGAGGAGGATTTCAGGCCTTCCAGAAGCGAACACCTTGCGGACAAAAGGACCGAGGTCCTCGCCGTTACAGATGGCGGAGGAAAGGAGGAGTTGTTCCAATTTATCACCCGAATCACCGCCATATGCGGCTGCTGGCGCCACTTTGCGGCGCGACCTCGTTGCCTGCATTTCTTTCGTCGGTAAAGGTGATGGCGCCGTGATTTAAGAAAGAGAGGGAGAGGGCCGGGGTGGTGTGAATCTGAAGTACTTTTGGACAGAATTTTTGGTTATTTTGGTTTGACGAAACGTCACTGAGAAGATGAAAATAGCATGGGCTTATATGTAATTTTCGATGGAATTTGGATATTTGTTTGACTCGGTAGACTTCGGTTTAATAAAATTTTATATCAGAATGGGCAGATATAAATAGATCCATTTTCATCTTATTTAATTTTATAAGATTAAATTAAACAGTTAATTAAATCATGTGGCCTTCAATTATGATTCTCATTTTAAATTGATCCCTAAATTTTTAAACATTTTAACTTCATCTCTAAACTATGACTGTCATTCTAAATTAATCTTTATACTTTTGAACATTTCATTTTCATCCCCAAACTATGATCTTATTCTAAACTAGTCCCCAAACTTTTTGAACAATTCAATTTCATCCCAAATTATACATATATATTAATCACATCCCTTGTTAATAAAATTATTAGGCCAAGTTATTTTATCATATGTTTTAAAAAATAAAATTTAGATTAAACTATTGTTGAAACGGATTATATATTTGGATAGATTTAGGGATGAAATGGAAAGATTCAAAAGTTTGGGAATTAATTTATACTGAGATCCATAGTCTGGGGATAAAATTGAATTTTTTAAAAGTTTAAGGGCTAATTTAGAGTGAGAATCATAGTTTAGGGTTAGAATATTTAAAAATTTAAGGACAAATTAAAAATGATAGTCATAGTTTAAGAATATATAATATAATTAACTCTAAATTAAATGGATATAATATCATCAATTACAATGATAAGTGATTTTTTTACTTAAAAATCAAATAAAAATTTATTATTTATTGAATTAACTCCCATTAATTAATATTTATTAAAATATCATAAATTTTAATAAAGCTTAAGTAAACGAGATATTATTAGGAGCACCGCACCGCGGCATCCACCAACCATTTTATCTATTTTGTTATTCAGTTGACAAATTTGGCATTGCGTGCAGTCTCCAGAGTCTATAGTCTATCTACCATTCAAGGCACCCACCTGCCCTTCGTTTCCCTGCCCTTCTTCTTCGTCCCCAGAAGGAAACACCAGATTTCCCTTCGAAAACTCCATTTTCCATTAAAAATAGAGGAAACAAAAAAAAAATGGCTCTCAATCGCACCACCGCCATTCCCATATCTCTCTTCCTCTTCCTCCAGTCGGCTCTCGCCACGTCAGTCCCCCTCACCTTCACCGACGACACACCGTCAGCCTACGAAGTCCTCCAAGACTACAATTTCCCCGTCGGTATCCTCCCCAAAGGAGTCGTGAAGTACGATTTAGATGAATCCACGGGTCGTTTCCATGCCTACTTAAATGGCTCGTGTAGTTTCTCGTTGGAAGGATCTTATCAACTCAAATACAAATCCACAATCAGCGGAATCATATCCGATAACAAGCTCACGGACCTTTCTGGAATAAGCGTCAAGGTCTTTTTTCTATGGCTCAACATTGTGGAGGTTACTAGAGATGACGATGAGCTGGGTTTTTCAGTAGGGATTGTCTCTGCGAGCTTTCCAATTGATAACTTTATGAGTGTCCCCAGTGTGGATGTGGGCTGGATGCCTTAATGGGAAAATGAGCAAGCTTAGAGTTAAATCTTCTTTCGCTTCAATTTAGAGGTATTTGTAGGGAGAAAATATTTAAGTTATTGAATGCTATGTTTCATATGGGTTGAATTGAAGTGGATTTTGCTTATATATTGAAATTTGCGGAGTTTTAACCTTTTATGTATTTTTAGAATTTCAACTCATTTGTGTGTAGTGTTTCTGATTATGTGTGGTATTGCTTTAATTGCTTGGTTAGGAAGGATCGACTATGCGGCTAATGCATCGAATATTAGTTCATCTTCTTTTAATGCTATGAGTAGATTGTTGAAACGCTAAGCCTTGAGACGTGAATGTTAATCTGGGTGTTGATAGAAGGCTATGCCTTGCAGATTATCTCCTGTATATGATAATGGAACTGCGGATTTGTATAACTATTGAGTGACTATCGAGTGAATAGAAAGTGGTCGAAAGGGCAGAAAGGACGACTAGGGCAGACATGGGATTGTGCATTTTTTGTGTCAGTTGAAGTAGGATGTAGTAACTGGACATGAGAGGTAGAGTTAGGAAGATAAAGAATGTTTCTGGCAGGAACCGTATACAAGTGAGAATTTTTATGATCTGTTTGAATCTTAGTCAAGTCATTATTCAATATCTCGAGTGCTAGGTTGAGATGTATGTGCAGTATTATTCTCTAGGCAGGCTATTTCTTACATTGCAAGTACCCTTTAGGCTAGCAGAGAACTTCGATGGCTTCAATTTTCAGCTAGAGAAGGTTATCATTTAACTGCATGGTGTGGAGTTTTCAGTTGCATAAATGCTTTGATTTGATAGAAAATTTGTATATCTTGAGTTGTACTTGTCATACTATGGTCTGGACTCTGGATATATGATGAAGGTAGTGATCACATTATCATTAAACCCAACCATATTCAAAATATGGAATTCAATAGTCACGCTTCTGTAGTTTTGTTGCTCTATTCAAGTGAAAATTATGGAAGGTGCCATTCTCTGTAATCGGAAATAATTAGAGCTGATATCCCACAGTTTGACTTGGTTCTTTTTATTTTAGCTGATCATAGGCAGTTGTGTAGTGTTTAAAATGGGCTTGTAAGGACCTTTAGACCTGGAAAAAGGTTCAGGTTTTGCCTTGAAAGTTTCTCTGGTTGCAAATGTTTTAGGACAGGATGACTAAATGGGAATAACTTTTATTTATTCGATAAGTTGGAGTTGATGCCTGAAGTTCTTAATCCAGTTTATGTAGCAGTTAGCTTGAAGCATCACATATTCATTACTGTAATCTTCGACATCTTGAGAATGTTTCTTTTGTTCAATCAAGATGTAAGGAAATTATAGAAACAGATTAGTGATAAGGACTTCGACAAGATAAATATCTGATCGCTTTTAGACTCATTCGCTGTGGACGTTAACTTATAAGTTCATACCGAGATCTCAGACTAAGAGAGGAGAGTAAAGATGTCCTCCATAGCTGTTTTTGTGCCGTAGTTCTAGTGGAGATTGCCATCATGAATTATGTCTCCTTGAACACTCAATCTACCCATTGAACTAGGTTGTCCCTGCACTTTTATTAAGAGATAGTCTTGCAAGAAGCAAGGCTAGAATAATAGAAATTTTCCTGAAATTTATT